TCATTTAAATTATTATATATTCCAGAGTGTTTTTGTGTACATCCCCCCACCTCCCAAAACAAGCAAACAAAAAACCTCAGAGGAAATGGAAGCAAATACTGTTGAATGATAATGCACGGAGATTGTAACCATTGCAATGAAACGATGGTGTAAAGCCAATGTTCTCCCATGTAAACCATCACTCAGTTCACAATGTTGTTGTTGTTGTTGTTATGTACCGTGGAGTCAGTTCCGACTCATAGCGACCCTGTACAGGGTTTCTGAGGCTGTAAATCTTAATGGGAGCAGAAAGCCTCATCTTTCTCCCTCGGAACAGCTGGTAGTTTCAAACTGCTGACGATGAGGTTCGCAGCCCGATTCGTAACCACTGTGCTACCAGAGGTCCTTCAGTTCACAATGTTGTTGTTGTTGTTGTTAAGTGCCGTCGAGTCGGTTCCGACCCATAGCGACCCTGTACAGGGTTTCCGAGGGTGTAAATCTTTACGGGAGTAGAAAGCCTCATCTTTCTCCCGCGGAGCGGCTGGTAGTTTCGAACCGCTGACCTTAAGGTTCGCAGCCCGATTCGTAGCCACTACGCTACCAGAGCTCCTTCAGTTCACAATAGAAACTTAAAAAACAAAAAAAGGGGAAAAAATCCACTTGACAGTATCTAACAACAACTGAGTGCTGGTGTGGTGCTATAGGATAGGCACTAGACTGTTAATTGTGAGGTAGGCGGTTCAAATCCACCAGTTGCTCCTGGGAAACTCTATATAGGGTCGCTATGGCGATTCTTTCTTAGCATGCTCTTTCTACAGTTAGTCTCACAGAATTTAAGGTGATTTTCCCCTCCCAACAAATGTTATTGTGTATTTTAGAAGGTCCAGCAAAGGTGCTATTCCTGCTGCAGCCAGTGATACTTTTGACATGTTTTCTAACGTGTGATTCTCGGAACCTGCGTAGGTATTGCTGCTACAATAACTTAGGGCAAATGTTTCTTTTTCTCTTAGTAACAGAATGATCTAATAGCATAGAATACCCAATTTTAAAAGTACCTCTTCCCTCAGGTGATTTTCTAGGTGCAGAATCAGAATAATTTTTGGTTGCTAATTTTGATGGTATAGGACTAGGCAATGTTTTGCTCTGTTGTGAAGAGGGTTGCTCTGAGTTAGAGCCAACTGAACTACAATTCTAACAACAATTTCAATCCAGAAGCACTTTAAATACAGACTCCCTCCTGAGTGCTTCCTTTTAGAATAATACACCCTGCCTGTCCTCCCCCACTCAAATACACAAAATCACCCTCAAGTTGATTCCAACTCCTGGCCACGCCATGTATTCCACGGCAGAACTGCTCTGCAAGGATTTGTTTGAGGAAGCAGATCAGCAGGCCTTCCACAGTACCAACAGTGAGTACTACAACACAAACTATTTGCACCACCTTCTAGGCTAGGGACATTTATTTCTGACCAACATTGGATAGATCAACTTGAGATCAAGTAAAAAAAATGAAAACAAACAAACAAAAATGGAAATATAAGAAAAACATATTTAAATATTCCTAGAATGATTTGAAGACAATTCAGAACCAGTAAAGGATATTTGAATTCAATCTGTAGCACCTGCTAACTGGACAGCTGTTAGAGAAGCCATCAGCATTCTGATCCTCAAATTCTATACAAGAAAAATTTTCAAGGAACCCTAAGGCACTGTACGATAATCACTGGACTGCTGGCCAAGGGGGTCAATGGTTCAGACCCACCAGCCACTCCTTAGAAACCCTACACAGCGTCATTATGGTTCAGAACAGACTCCACAGCACTTAACAGTAACATGAGTGAGAATCAAATTGATGGCAGTGGGTTTGTTTGGTTTGGGCATAGGGTGTTTGCTAAATGTTGTAAGGGAGGAAACAGTGGGTTTTCTCTAATTTTAGAGTTTTTGAACTAAATTTGCATGTACCTTTGTAACTAAATATTTAAATAAGCTTAACAAGAAAATAACACACACAAAGATGAAGATAGCAGAGTGGTAGTCCATGCGGTGATTGCAATGATTGTAATGGACGAAGAAAATGATTTGTTAACTGTAAAATTGATAATCTGTTCTGTAAATTTTCACTCAAATAATAATAAAAGGTTTAAAGCAATATGCAATTAAATACATTATGCTGAAAAAAAAATAGTAGCTCTGTACTAGTCACCTCAAGTAACTACTAGTTGTTAAATATATATATATATATATATATATATATATATATGTTTAAGTCCACAATCCACAATTTGTGGTCTATTTTTATTGTCACTCACCTTCTGGAAGTCTGTATTACGGCCACAGGATCTTTCTCTTCTTTTGTCTAACAGACATATGGAGTCACAATAGATAAATCAGGACACAGAAGGGCCACCTTAGACTAGGAGGAGCGTTGCAGCATGAATTCAGACCAGGGATCTAGTCCTGTCTTTTATGGACCCCAGGCTCTTGAGGCAATTACCAACGCAGTTCTGGTGTGGTGTTGTAGGATAAGCACTGGACTGGTAACCACAAGATCAGTGATTCAAACCCATCAGCTACTCCTTAGAAACCCTATATAGGGTTGATATGAGGCAGACCCAATTCAACAGCACTTAACAAGATGTTAATAATGTCCTTTTGACCCACAAGGATAAGAGTGAGTTTTCAAATGATCTGTTTAGTTTTTGTTTTTTCTACATAGTACAGTATGAACTCAGGTGTCCTGGTGTGGTGCTGTAGGATAAGCATTAGACTACTAATCCCAAGGTTGACAGTTCTAACCCACCAGCTGCTCCTTGTAAACCCCTTTACAGGATCAAAATGAGTCACAACTGACAGGATGGCACTTAACAGTAACATGAGCCTTAAGTTCATCATTTGTGAAATGAGCTTGGCACAGGATCTGAATCTTAGGTATACAAAAAGGAATCACCTGGGGATTTGTTAATATGTAGAGTCTGATTTAGTATATCTGGGTGGAAAGGCACAGTCTCAGTAGGGAGTCAACCTGGAAAGAACAGATTCTAACACAGGGGCCCTAGGGACCTCTTGGAAAGTTATCAGGAAAGCAAAGACTGAGTCTCAAGGACAGGGGGTCTTTTGGTCTCTACATACCTCAGTGCCTGGTCCATATAACTGGATTCTCAGCAGCGGACAATTTCCAAGAGCTGTAGCTCATAGACCCCCTGGAGAAGATGGGTCCAACTGAGGCCCTCATGTGATCCAACCCCCAGCATCTGCTACTCTGCCTCTCCAATGTGAATGTGAAAGCATTAATCCCAAGGCCTTGATCATTTTAGTGTGTTTACTGTAAACAGACCACCCACAAAATTTCTGTATTTTACTTCTGAGCTGCAGGATAACGCACTGGGCCACAAGGTCAGTGGTTCAAACCCACCAGCTGCTCCTCAGAAACCCTATACAAGGTGCCCCTTTGAGTTGAAACCAATTCAAGGGCACATAACAATATGTTTTACAAGCTTTTCACCCACCTTGAATAATGATCTTTCCTTGGCAACAGAAGTAAACACTAGTCCCTGAGAGGGACTAGAACCGGAGTTAAGCTTGTATGACATCCCAAATTTTCTCTACCCCACCTTTGTGGTGGAATCATTCTTAAAGAAATGCAGCACAGGCATTCAATTAGCATGTTGTTGTTGTTAGGTGTCACTGGTATCAATTCCTAGTGAATCTATGTACAACACAATGAAACACTGCCAGGTCCTGGGTTAACCTCACTGTCATTGGTACTCCTGAGCCCACTGCTGCTGTCACTGTGCCAATCCATCTCATTGGGGACCTTCCTCTTTTACTCTGACCTTCCACTTTACCAATTGGCATAGCCCTTCCTAAAAGGGCCACTTCCCAGAAATCCTCACCTATCCATATGAATAAACAAGATGCATTTGTCCTACCGCAAACTTTCTTAAACCCCTGCAAAGACTTCCTTCAGGGAAACAAAAGCATTGCCTAGGACCCTACTCTTCTATGGCCAGATCTTTTCCTCTCAGTAATCTTTAAATCTTTTTTTTCATGTGAAATTGTTTAATGAACATTTTTGATCAGTAAAGACAAGGAACCTCTGTTGAAACGTTAGGATCTCCCTATAATCCGATGAACAGTTTGAAGCACTAGTGTGACAAGCCCTTTCTTGCACGACTGGTGGCATGTATGTAAGGTGTCTGACATAACACCTTATTTACATTGGATCTTTAATGAACATCAGTTGTTTCCAATGTTATTTTGACCTCAGACCTTACCACATTGTCCTCTGGAAATTTTCTGCTGTTATCCAGGATGCCTCAGAGTATATGCAGCCAGTGTTCAACTGCACAAGGACAAGGCACACAATACCTTCCAGACCTGCCCCTAGTGGCGATTTCTCTGTGGTTTACCTATGATCCAAGAGTTTTTCACTCCAGCATTTTCTCTCATCTGTAAATGACTCCACCTAAATCTGGCCTAGCCTGCGTCCCGCTCCTCCCCCAGCTTAACTTGGTGTGCCGCTGGACTACAAAATCTGTTTGAATCACAAGGTGGGCAGTTCAAACTCACCAGCTGCTCCTCAGAAAACTTATACAGGGTTACTATGACTTTGGAACCTGAACTGACTTGATGGCACTTAATTAAGGGAGGATTGGCAGTTTCTATTTTTAAATCTCACAGAATAGACTAAAAGGAACACAAGAATCCAAGCTTTATTTCCTGAACCTTTCTATTTTATTGCTGGGTTCTTTCACATTTCCAAGGAAATTTCTATTTCAATGTCATGTTAACTTGCCCCTCATCACAGAATGGAAGGTTTACCAATTAATTTTATCAAAGAGAAAAACCTGACAAACAGCAATAAATGTGTGACCAATTCATAAACTTGGATTCTGAAGTTGATGAACAATTACAAAGGAACAATATTTGAAAATATTAAAAGAGTAGGGAGAACTCTGTAAGTTACCAGAAACACAAAGACAAGATATACCATGTTCCCCCAGCCCTATCCTGGCCCTCTACTACTTAGAACATTGACTGCCCTCCATTTCAGAATGAAGAATCTGCTTCAGACTGGAACTTGAACAGGTCATTGTGGAAATTCTTCCTTGGGCTCTTTCTTCCTCATCTCTCAAAGCCTCCTCATATAAGGATGGGAAAGCACTGGCATCAGTCCCATTGACCTTGGCAAAAAACTTTAGGACTTTCATCTTGCTGGTTTCTGCATGGGCTCTTGGACCCCACAGAAACTCGTAACAGGTAGGATCACTGTTGGGTATCTGCCGGTACTCCAGGTACTTTTCCTGCACCATAGCTTTGGTGATGAACTTCCTGGGTTCCCCACAGATGAAATCTTTGCTTCCAGAACATTCCCCGATCATTTTCAGCACTTCCCAGATCTTCTCCTCAGTGACACAGTTGCCTTCCATGAAGATCACGCCCAGGACAAGTATCAGGAGGCCGGTCTTGGGCATGCCCTGGTCATCACTCAGCATCCCACTGTAGGTGAGATCTAGCATTTTGACAAGGATGTACGAGTGACCCGTGGGGTCCACTTCCTTCACACAAATGCCAAAGACCACTTCCAGGCACTTACAGGCTTTCTTGAAGATCACAGGAAAGTGGTCCTTGTATTCTTTCATGGCCATCTTCAGCATTTCTGCCTCTGTGACGGGCTCCTTTGCCAGATACTTTATGCTAAGGAATTGCACCAAATCAACCACCTTCTTATCTAGCGCATCACAGAGCAACACCTGAATCTCTGGTGAAATCTGTGAGGTGCTTGGAACCTCTTCTTGGCTTCTGGGACCCTCATTTGTTTTGCTCCAGGAAGCAACTGCAATGGCAGGTGAGGAGGAAGAGACTCTTTGAAAACTCTGGGGAATACTTGGCATCCCAGCAGAGGCCACCTCCTCTGTGACGATTTCCTCTTCCTCAATCGCAGGAAGCTTTGGACACATCAGGCCCCATTTCTTACTTAGGGACCGAAAGTATGTCTCAGGCTTCCTGTGCTGACTCTTGTGACAATGAGGCATGATGACTCTTGTCAGGGGCAACAGACAGCAGTGTGAAAATGAGGGCACACCAGCCTGGGAGAGACAGGAAGAGTGTGAGTGGCCTCAGCTGAGAAACTCAGTTTGACAAAGACTAAGCTACAGGTCTTCTGTGTAGGTGGTACTCTAGGGCCTCACAAGTCTCCTAAAAACCTGAAGGGGAAAGCAACATAACTCCCAGGACTGACAGGAGTGTAGATGGGGTCAGGCACTGTGGGGTACCCTCTGTGCTGGTGTGTGTGTTATGGATTGAATTGGGTCCCCATCAAATCTGTTGGAATCTTAATCCCTATACCTACGGATGTAATCCCGTTGTTGGGGAAAAAGTGTTCTTGTTTATGTTAGTGATGCTATGCCAGTATAGAGTATATCATAAGTCTAATCACTTCTGAGTTATAAGGGTTATGGGAAGTGTATCTATAGGAAGGAATCAATATGACCAAGACTTGGATTTGGACTTTCAACCTGTCTTCTAAAGCCACCTATTAGCAGTATTTTGTGCTACAGCAGCATTAGGTAACTAAGACAGGAGGGTACTTGGTAGACACCAAAGGGCTTCACCTTTACTTCTGACAGTGCCTGGGCCTCCAAAACTCTACTGACCTGAGGACGTGCGTCACTCCTGGGCCCTTGAGCTCCTGTGAAAACAAAAGAGCCATTCACTGCAAGCACAGTTCTGAACCTCAGGAGGTGTGGGATCTGTCTCTGTGAGGTCCCCACAGTTCAGGGCGGATGGACCCCTCAGTGCTCACTCAGGGTCCTCAGCTTTCCCCCAGGCAGGTCTGGGCCCTATTCTCTGCTGACCTGAGGCCAAACTCTCAGAACATGAGCTCACAGTCCTGACACTAACAACAAGAACATGAGGAGGTACCATATCCAAGGATTGCCCCAGGTCCTCGTGGTGTAACAGCAGGGGTAGAACAGGGCTGTAGTGACATATGTCCTGGAATATGACACACATTCTCACATTGAGAGCTGTAAGACTTTGAGAATCTCCTGACCTTAAAATGGCCCCTTTTGACCAAGAACCTGACCTTCTAGAGACACCAAAGGAAACCACATTCAGCCACCAAGCCACAGGCCTTCCAGGGCCTAATAGGTGGTGTGCGTTTCTGAGGGGTTCTCTACTACTGGAGTGGGAAGAAATTTTCATCCTTCCTCAGGGTCCTCACATGATGGCAGAAAGGGCCTGAACTCTCCCCTCTGTTGACATGATCTTTCCTGCTGTGACTAAGGCCCTCCATCTCCCTAACATCTTTGAGCCAGAAAGGGACAAGATAGGGAAGGAGGGGGCAGTGCTTAAGCCTGACAGGGTCTACAAAGGTTACTATCAGGGAGAGGCAGGGCTTGATGGCGGCTAGGCTGGAGGTGCAGTGAAGTTTGCCGTCACCCATACCACAGAATACCAGGCAAAGCAGATCCAGGGCAGAGCTCCAAAACTTAGAACCGAAGAGTTAGGAATATTTTTAAAGTTTGAAAGCTTATAGCTACTGGAGCTTGAAGCTAAAGAAAGAAATAACGTACTTTTGAATCTGCCAGGCTCGGAGGCCCAGAGCAGACATCTTGGGCAAGACCAAACAGCAAGACCAAGCAGGGAGCAGAAACACCATGGAAAAATGTCGTGGCAACCTTGTAGCAAAGGTGGACATTAAACTTTGTCGGTTTTGCTTTGCTCTGATTTTCTTTTTTTTTTCCTTTGGTATCTGGTCATTGCCCACCCCCATTGTTTGCGCACCTCCATTCTGGTGACTAGTGGGAGAGCCTGAGCGAGTGGACACCCCCCACTCTCACTACTGATGAGTTGTTCTGCCACGCATGCACACAGATACTCAGTCCAAGAGCAGACCCTGAACGTTTTTGTTTTTCTTTTTTTTTTAAATACGGGAAAGGGCAGGACAGCGCTGTAGAGAGGGAAAGAGACTTTAAAAACAAAACAGGCGGAAATTAAATTAAAGACTAAGGTATAGCATAACAACCAACAGTGGCATCCTGAAATCTCTCAGGCAGCTTTGAAAACAAGAAGCTGAAGAGAGGACATTAAACTCATACTCATATTAGGCTGCGAACCCCAAGGTCAGCAGTTCGAAACTACACGCTGTTCCGCGGGAAAAAGATGAGGCTTTCTGCTCCCGTAAAGATTTACAGCCTCAGAAACCCTGTGCCAGGGTTGCTATGAGTTGGAACTGACTCCACAGCACATAACCAACCAACCAACAAACATATTAGGCTACAGATTTTTTTTTTTCTTCTCTCCCTCCTCTACCTTTTCTATGACTATAGACTGCAGTATTCAGTCTAATTTTTGTTGTTGCTGTTTTTTGTTTTGTTTTGCTTTGCTTTTTCCCCCTGCTGGTGCTATTGTGCTGTTTTATGCTCCCCCTTCTACCTTTGGGGAACTCTTTCTCTCCCTATATTACCCAAGAAGAGTCCGCAACTGCTGCCATATAGTCAAGTTACAATTGCACTCTATAAAACACCAAAACCCAGGCAAGAACCAATACCAACTGCCATATACCAGGGAGGCAGACAATACCTGTAAAAGTTACTCTGAGTTAAGCAATAAGAAGAGTGAAAATGGAAGCCTGCATCCTGAACACATCTACCTGGAAGCAACCAGAAAGTATGAAAAATACCAAATCACATACTCAATTAAGTATTAAGGCCACAGATAAACACTAAACATGTCCAAGAAGCAAAAGCATATGACCATATCAGCACATGTCCAGAAACAAGATAAAATGTCTGAGACAACTGACCTAGAGGTAGACCTGGACTCCATTCTGGAAGGAGGGCAGACCTTGGAAATGCCTGAGAAGGAATTCAGAAAAATGATTATATATTGCTTCAAAACACTTTACAATGGAGTTGAGAAAAATAAGGAAGAAGTCAGGATATCACTACAGGAACAATCAAATAAGATAGATACAGCATTGGAAGCAATTCAAAACCTACAGAAAGATGTCCAAATGATCAATAACAGAATATCAGAAATAGATTTAATAATAGAATATCAGAAACAGATAATACTCTGATAGGGCAAAGGAGTGGAACAGACGAGATGGAAGGCAGAACCAGTGAGCTGGAAGACAAATCTCTCAATTACCACTAAGATAGAAGAACAAACACACAAAAAAAGATTAAAAAATCTGAAGATTCATGTTGGACAACATGAAGAGGACTAACTTAAGAATTATCGGCATTCCAGAACAAGAAGAATCACACAAGTAAACAAAGGATATAGTTGCAGAACTGCTGGAAGAAAATTTCTCTAACATCCTCAAAAGTGAAAAAATAAACATTCAAGAAGCTCAACGAACCCCAGGAATGATAGACCCCAAAAGAAAATCACCGAGACATATCAAAATCAAGCTCTCCAAAATCAAAGATAAGGAGACACTCCTGAAACAGCTAGGGAAACAGAAGTGTCACATACAAAGGCAAGCAAGTCAGATTAAGCTCGGATCTCTCAGCAGAAACCATACAAGCAAGAACGCAGTGGGCGGAAAGAACAAACAAGATGGTAGATCAGGTGGAAGTGCGGTAAGGAGCTCGGTTAGCAACAACACAGAATACAGGAACAAGCAGGCTCAGGGGATGGTCCCAGAACTCTGAACCACATATAAAGGCATATTTAGAAGGTTGGAAGGCTTATAGCTAGGGGAATTTGTAGCAGAAGCAAGAAATCCATTGCTTTCTAATTCAAGACACTCAGCTGCTCCAGGAGCCACCATCTTGGGTGAGACCAAGCGGGGAAAGGATCAGAACAGCCACGGATGCCTGACAGAACTGCGGAGACAAAGATGTGGACATTATTTTCTTTTGGTATCTGTTCATTGGTCCCTTGCTGCCTGCGCACCTCCATTCTGGTGACTATAGGGGCGCCTGAGCTAGTGGACACCCCACCCCACCCTCGGAGGGTTCTACTATGCATGTACACAGAACTCCTCGAAATTTAAAAATACAGTTTCCCCTTAAAACCAAACGGCCACAGCCAGCCCTGAACTGTTTATAACTAGAAAAAAAGTCCTGAACAGGGACTGTGGAGAGGAACAGGCAGACAAAAAAGGAAATAGGCTGAAAATTAAATCCTAAGTTACGTTGAAATGACCAACAGTGGCATATTGACATTTCTCAATAAGAAGAATGAAAAGGGAAGCCCATTTCCTGATCACATCTACCTGGAGGCAATCAGAAAGCATAAAAAAATACCAAAATACACACTCATCTAAGTATTAAGGCCACAGATAACCCCTGAATATGCCCAAAAAACAGAAGTAGATGACCATATCTTCACATGTCCAGAAACAATATAAAGTGACTGAGGCAAATGAGCTGGAAGTAGACCTACAATCCATACTGGAAGATGGGCAAGCTTTGGAAATGCCTGAGAAGGAATTCAGAAAAATGATTATAAAATGTATCAAAATACTATACAATGGATTTGAGAAAAATAAGGAAGAAGTCAGGAAAGTGCTACAGAAACAATCAAATAAAATACAGCATTGGAAACAATTCAAAACCTACAGAAAGAGGTGCAAATGATTAATAATATAATATCAGAAATGGACAATACACTGAAAAGGCAAAGGAGTCAAATTGAAGAGATAGAAGCCAGAATTAGTAAGCTAGAAGATAAATCTCTCAACACTATAAGATAGAAGAGCAAACACACAAAAAAAATCTGAAGAAGGCCTAAGATTCATGTTGGACAACATGAAGAGGAATAACTTAAGAATTATCGCATTCCGGAACAGGAACAATCACACAAGTCCACAGAGGAGATTCTTGAAGAGCTTCTGGAAGAAAATTTTCCTAACATCCTGAAGAGTAAAAAGGTAAGCATTCAAGAAGCTCAACAAACCCCAGGAAGAATAGACCCCCCAAAAAATCACCAACACATAATAATCAAGCTCTCCAAAATCAAAGATAAGGAGACACTTGTGAAAGCAGCCAGGGAAAACAGAAGTGTCACATACAAAGGC